AAGAAAAAAGAAAAGGAAGAAGAATAAGAGGAAAAAGGAGGAGGAGGAAGAAGAGGAGGAGGAGGAAGAGAACCAAGGAAAAGGAAGACGAATAAAAGAAAAAAAAGAGGAAGCCGAATAAGGGGAGGAATAGGAAGAAGAAGAGGAGGAGGAATAAGGGAAAAGAAAAGGAAGAAGAATAAGAGGGGAAAAGAGAAGGAAAGAGAGGAGGAGGAAGAGGTTTTAGGAAAAAGAAAAGGAAGATGCGTAAGAGGATAAAAAGGAGGAGGTGGAAGATGAATAAGAGGATGAATAGGAAGAAGAAAAGGAAGAAGAATAAAAGGGGAAAGGAGGAGGAAGAAGAAGAGGAGGCAGAAGAGGATTAAGGAAAAAGAAACGGAAGATGAGTAAGAGAAAAAAAGAAGAGGAAGATGAATAAGAGAAGGAATAGGAAGAAGAAGAGGAGGAGGAATAAGGAAAAAGGAAGAAGAATAAGAGGGAAAAAGAGAAAGAAGAGAAAGAGGATTAAGGGAAAAGAAAAGGAAGATGAGTAAGAAAAAAAAAGAGGAAGAGGAAGATGAATAAGGGGAAGAAGAAGAATAAGGAAAAAGAAAAGGAAGATGAGTAAGAAAAAAATAAGAGGAAGATAATAAGAGGAGGAAGAGGAAGAAGAAGAGGGATAAGGAAAAAGGAAGATGCGTAAGAGAAAAAAAGAAGACAAATAAGAGGAAGAATGGGAAGAAGAAGAGGAAGAAAGAAGAATAAGAAAAAGAATAAGAGGAGGAGGAGGAAGAAAAATAAAAGGAGAAGAGAAGATGAGGAAGGTAAGGAAGAAAAAGAAGAATAAGAAGAGGAGGAAGAATAGGAGGAGCAGAGAGAAGTGATAGTTTCAGGCTGAAAGTGATCCCCCAGGAGAGCCTCAGCAATGAGAGGCGAGCAGGGGAAGCATTTCCAGCCCCAGGCACCCACCGTGGACCTCGGGCTGGCCCTGCCCATCCTTCCTGTGCAGGTAGATGTGGTACCCAGTGATGCAGCCCCTCTGCTGGGGCGCTGGGATCTCCTCCCAGGAAACCAGGACTCCGCTGGCCCAGGGGGTGGTGAACATCTGGGGCCCAGCTGAGGGGGCTGCAAGGCACAGGAGTGGGGTTAGAGCTGGGCTGAAACGCCTTACAAACACCTGGACAGCATTCCTGGGGTTTACCTTGAGCTGTGGAGTTTCCCCTGACTGATGCTGCCTGCCCAGCTCTGTCCTGATAAAGTGCAGACACGTGGATCTGATAGCAGACGTTATCTCTGATGTGCTCTGGGGGGAGAAATCACAGCTGCAGAGCTGCTTCTGCAGGGATTTGGGGGAGAAACCACAGCTGCAGAGCTGCTTCTGCAGGGATTTGGGGGAGCAATCACAGCTGCACAGCTGCTTCTTCAAGGATTTGCAGTCAGGGCAGAAATATTGCAGCGGCTGCTTAAATCTGAGATAAATCTTGTGATTATTGATAGATCTTTCATAAAGAAGGGAAAGATTTTTTTTTTCTGATCTACTGAGCCTGGCAGAGCCTTGCTGGGCTTTAACCTGGAAATTAATGGTTTCCCACTGCCAGAGGAAAGGGATAAATGGGATATTGGGAGGGTGAACAGGCCCTGGCACAGGGTGCCCAGAGAAGCTGTGGCTGCCCCTGGATCCCTGGAAGTGATTTTAGTAAAAATGATAGAATTACATAGAAAATATATAGAATATATAGAAATATATAGATTATAGAATATAGACAATATAGAAATATATTTATATATGTATATAAATTAATAGAAATGTATAGAAATATAGACTCCCAAACTGGTTTGGCTTGGGAGGGACCTCAATGTCCATCCAGTGCCACCCCTGCCATGGCAACAGCTCCCACCATCCCAGGCTGCTCCAAGCCCCATCCAGCCTGGCCTTGGAGCCCAAATTCCCACCTGACTTGTTGCTGAGAATATTTTCCAACCAAGCTGGTGCCGTGCCCAGCCCGGGGTCGCATTACAGCTATCACAGTGCACAGGTGGCATTACCAGCTATCACAAGTGACATTACCTGCTGTCACAGGAGGCATTACCTGCTATCACAGTGGACAGGTGGGACGGGGGCAGCTTCACCCAGCTGTGCGGGGGCTGCAGCTGTGGCTCCCTCCAGGGCTCTGCCCACTCCACCAGGTACCCCCCGAGGGGCAGGGCGGCTCGGGCAGGGGGGCTCCAGCTCACCAGGATGCTGCTGTTCCCCAGGCCCACGGCGCTGACCCGCTGGGGAGGGGGCAGATCTGGCAGGGGAGAGCAAAACTCAGAGTCAACACAAGGTTCTGGCAGCCTCAATCCACCCAGGACCTTTGGGATGTGGGGTTTGCTGGGTCCCGTCCGCTTTGGCACCGTGGGGAGGATAAAATGAATTGTAGTGAAAGGGAAGGTGCTGATGGCAGGGTGAGGGTTTGCTGGCAGGAACAGCGACATTCCTGGCTTTTCTCATGGATGGCACACCCAGAGCTCGGCCTGGCTGTTGCCACACCCCAACACCCTGCCCCGATGGAGGCACTGGGATGTGGAGCTGCTGTGGTGATTCCAGAGGAGGAACAGGGGCATCCCGAGGGCCCCTCTGGCTGGGAGAGCAGGAACCGCAGGGAAAAAGGATCTGCACATCCCTGAGGGTCACTGAGGTGAGCACAAGGTGGAGGCACTGCAATCCCTGCAGGGGTGTGGCCTAGAGGGGTGTGGCATGGCAGGGGTGTGGCCCGGCAGGGGTGTGGCACAG